AATCATTTATATTGAGAAAAAGAAATTATAATACAGACTTGACCTTTGAACCCCACAATATATCTAACTAGGTCCTCTTGTTATACCTCCTCTTTCTCTCTCCACTCATGCACACACACACACAAACACACAGTGATGACAGACAGCGTCTGAGAGGAGGGGAAAAACCCTTAAAAATCAAAGCAGGACATCCAGGAGACGAGTGTGCATCTCTCTCTTTGTGTGTGTGTGTCTGTATGTGTGAGACACAAGGGTGGTTGGGGACTACCTTGATGAAAGATAGATGCAAGTCTTTTCCACCTCTGTCCTTTTCAGTGCTCTTTATCCTTAATAAAATGTTCTTTTTATAGTCCTTATAATTCCCTCCCTGCATTTCTTCTCAGTTGTCATACTCCTTTATTAGCGTCTGATGGGTTCTGTGTGCACTGAGGGGTGTCTCTGTGTCCAACAGGAAGGGTTTTTTGTACCGTTGACAGACAAAGCTGTACCTCTGATCATCGGCCGAGACACTTTCTCTCCCCCTGACCTCTTCCACTGAGTCCAGGAGCTGTGGCCTGGAGCTGATGATTGAGCAGCATTAGAGAGCGAGGGATAAGGTGACCACTTAAAACGCTGTTTTGTGTGTCTCCTTCTGTGTATCTCTGGGGTTGGTGAGAATTTTTGTGTGCGCTTCTAGATTCCACTGAAACACAATATGGTTTTCCCCAAAGATTCCACATCAATGGAGTTGTATGTTTGAACAGTTTAGCTTGAACTCCATATGTGCTTTGTGTTTCTGATCTCGCTTTACTTTTGTTTCCTTTAAATTTCAAAAAAATATCCATAAACTGAGGGATGTCCTCCAAAGATAATATTATTCATATAGGCATTCATTAATAATCATAATATCAATGATATATTATATGGTTAATATAATTAACCCTTTGGTACTATTCTCATGTCGGTCACAAATGACTATATTTTAGTTTGATACTGTTTTTTAGGGGATTTTGTGTTACTAAATTATATTTATGCAGTAGTTACAGTCAATATATGCACTTTTTGAGCCATTTCCTGAAAATTAAAGGTGCAATAGGTGATTTCTACAGGATTTGTTTGCTATGCTGGTTGAAAGTCTCCTCATATCCTGAAAGCGCTCACTATATTAAGCGGTCTAAATGTATTTCTTTTAAATATATATCGTCTGTGGAAGGTGTAGGACCACAAAATAATTGTTCAATCATTGTATTTGGTCGGAATGAAATGAAAGTATGTGTTCCAGTCAGTCAACGTGTGTTAGCATATACCACTGCGCTGCCTGTTCACACATCATCGGTGCATTTCACGTACGCCGTGCAAACACTTTTTTTTTTTTACATTTGTTTTTGTAATACTGTTACACGATGTAATCCAATAACGTTTTCTCTAGTCTCGGTCATGTGTTTTGGAGGAGGCGTGGCTTTGGACTATGATTGGCAGAAGGCGGGATTGTATGGTTTCGATGCTAGCAGGCTAAAGTTAGCATTTCCTTGATCACCTATTGCACCTTTAAATTTCCAACTGTGATAAATCTTGAATGCGTTGCAGCACAGACTTAAGTTTGGTCTCTTTTTAACCCCCTGAGCCCGACGGCGTCGTCGACGATGCCACACGTCACCTCCGATAAATGTTTACATAACTCGATGACAGATTTATCGATTTTCTTACCGTTTTTTCCAGCAGAAAGCTAACGAGCTAGCCATCACGGGGGTGTCTTTCGGGTCTTTCTAGCCTTTACAGAAGGTTTTCTATCCAGCCTGGAACTTGTGCTTCCTTTCAGAGGTTTTCAGCAATAAATCCAAACGCTTTATGTCAAACTTTGATAATCTTGAAGCCCATAATTCATAAATATTCGGTCATTTTTGCCGCTAGCTCGATGCTAGCGGACATCCTGGATATCACGTGATGTTTTCACGTGATGGTTTTTGACCAATTACAGGCTGATCCGTTGTAAACATTGGTGTGCGTCATTACGCATGAACCAAGCGCTGATATAGTGTAGAGAGATAGAGAGACTCACGGAGACGCGCGATTCACAGAGAAACACAGCGAAATGGACGTAAATAAAGCGCTGGTCTATTTTGGTGCATTGCAGGATGAAGGATTTTCAGGAGAACAGAGCTTTTTGACAGATGAGGAACTAGATTACCAGGATAGACCCAGCTGAAGTGCCATTTATTTATTTACTGTAAAAAAGTATTATAGTAGTATAAATGTATTATAAAAGAATAAAAAGAACATAATAAATAAAAGAATAAATAAAATAGAAATGCAAAACCTGTGATGTGGCCCTCTGTGTGATTGCTGATAGGAACTGTTTTGAGGCTTGGCACCAGTGAATTTCATGAGGCCCCAAACGCCTGGACTTCTTTTGGAAAAATGTCAATATTTTTTGTTCTGTACAAGTTATAATGTTTATTCCTGTGCTCCAGGACTCCAAAGACATGAACAAACTATTTTCCAGAGGAAAATTGCTTAGCTTTTATTTATTTGTGTGTGATTTCAATAAATAATTGAGTGATTCCATTTCCGATTTATTTTTTCATTTGTCTTTATGGTCCCATAACTTATTTTAAATTCAGGTGACATCAATGTAACACAAATATGCTGAAAGTTCAATTTGTCCTGAAAAAAAAGAGGTGTGTCAATTGTCTGTGCACCAAAGGGTTGATATTTTACAAGCTTTTTTAGTAAATGACACCAGACGGAAAATTTATTGTAAAAATACCCTTAGGTCTCAGAGGGTTAAAAAAAGACACTTGCTTTTTAACATAAAAAGGGACATTTTCAGCACATCACCTAAACAGCAAAATGATCCTCCAAATGTGTGTCATTACACAAAGTTGATCAAAGAAGATTTTGATATCAAAGATCTGCATTGTCATTAAACGCACTGAAACGTGTCTGTTTTAGCTAGGGGGGAAATCAACAAAAATTACGTCATTGCCTTAGTCAACATCAACAGCTTCATGTTTCATGGTAATTATGATGAATTTCACATAGACACATGGTAAAATTCCGTTATTATTTATCTGGTGTTGTGATGTGGTTTTAATGACTTGTTTGATGATGTCATGCTTTGGGATCTGACAGGTGATGAGTGAAATGTAATGGAAATATTTAGTGTATACTAGCAATTTAGTAAGGTTGATGTGACAAATATATCAAATGATTAAGTAAAATTTCAATTGTGATCAAAATTAGGCTACTATGAAATTAATATAAAAAATGGCTTGTATTTGACACAGCTGGAGTGAGAATGTTGTATTTTCACAACTGTCATTGTTTCTGCACTTATCTTCACAGATACAAAAATGGATTTCTGCGTAATTTAAAAACAGTAAATATGAGTGATGCTTGCATCTTGAATATGAACATTTAAATCTGCGCATTTAGGAGAAAAATACTGATATTTTATAATAGAGCCTCCAAATGTTTCCATTTGTTTGTGTGTATTGCAGATATATGTGAGAGAAGACCTGGCCATGAGTGTGTGACTATGTGGCAAGCCTCTGCATGTCTTTAACTTGACTTTGAGCTTTAGTGAGTCTCTGTTGTTAAAATTAATAACGGGATTTGTTCAACCACCCGAGACAGGGAATGTCTTCTCCTTATCCTGCCCTTTCTCACTCTGACCTTTAGTTTTACATAGTTTAATCATCAGAAATGATTCAAGAAAGAAAAATGAACACTAGCCATCTTCTGCATCTTCTGACCTAATTTAAACATGCAGCATTAAACAACAAAAACTACATAAGCAGCTCTTAGCGGGTCTGCAAAAATCACTGTGATCAGAGAGAAATGGATTCTTTTTTACACTAAATTACACGGCTTTTCTCTGTTTTTAATATTATTGCAAATGGAAATGTGCTAATAATATTAAAATTTGAATGTACACTTTTGCATTCTACATTTATTGTTTTTTGTGTGTGTTATTGACCATTCATATTGTTTTGTAATTTATTGAAATGCAAAAAAATAATAAATAAATAAATCGACCAGTATAGACTTGTTATTGTATAAATGGGATAATAACAATTACATAGCAGCTTTGCTTTTATAGTCATGGATAGCCTACTATTTATCTTTTTTTTTCCCCTGCCAGCATGAGCAAATAAATATACTGGCATAATTTTAAAACGCAAACAATTGTAGAAATTATTTCTGTACATGTAACATGTCGTACATGTAGGCTACATTGACGGGAAAATAAACCACATAAGTTTACGTCACATTGCGCTAAATAGCCTCAACGCTCTCGAACAGAAATTGCCATTGCGTGAGCAGGTAACTCTCTGATGCGTGTATCGGACGACATCTAAATTGCGCAAGACGAATTTTAAACGATGAGTTCAGAAAATATAGCCTACTGATATATTTATATACTTTATATTAATTATATATTATTATTATTATATATAATTATAATTTACTTTATATTAAATATAACCAAATTATTTCAGTAAATATTTTTATAAATTAGTGAATAACTTTTTTTATATACAAAATATTATTTTAAACAAATATATATATAAACTCTACCACAATGCTTGCTTTATCAATCAGTACCCTCTCTCTCTCTCTCTCTCTCTCTCTCTCTCTCTCTCTCTCTCTCTCTCTCTCTCTCTCTCTCTCTCTCTCTCTCTCTTTCTTTCTTTCTTTCTTTCTTTATGATTCCCTCTGTGGAACCTACAATCTCAAACGTTCCCCAATTCCCAGGCTTTCCCTGTGATCTATCCACGACCTCTTCAACTATCAGAGAAAAAAAAACTGCTCACACGTCACTGGTGAAGGTGGATCATAACTTGTGCCAATACCTATAAAGCTCGAGCGCGCAAGATACACTGAAGTCACATAGCTTCCCAAAAAAAGACAGATTCTGGAAGTTTCACTGGATATCTTCGATATGATTTTACACTAGTGCTGAGGTGAGTAGGATACGGTCTGTCTCTGTTTCACCTGTAGGTCACCCTGAGTTTTGTGATTAAGATTATGTGTCTACTGATTGCATGTTTTAGCCACATATCTGAGTGATTTTTTTGTTTTGTTTTGTTACACCCTTAAAAATAAGGTTTATTCAGTGATTATTAGGTTATGTTAGTAGCCTAATAACCATCTTATTAAGATTATTTTCACTAATTCTTCGGATATTAAACACAAACAAAAAACAAAAAACAAAGAATAGCCTAAAAGTTGATTGAGGTTGAATATGCACACTAATAGCTTACTATAGCCTATATATATTATGCTTTTTTGAGAGTGTATGAGTTTTACTTACTCGAAAGTGTTTGAGATTTTCTTTATTAGACACAAATTTGTGCTCGTTTCCAAACTTCTCATAATCTCAAATTCAGTTGGAGGAGTCGGATTTGCAGTCAGAGTGGGTGAGAGCAGGGCTGTCCCAGGGGTTGCACCCCAAGAAAAGGTGGATAAACGCGGATGAAAGACATGCCAGCGCATGCAACTTGTAAAACTGTTTGGAATAGTTGTCAGTTTCTTGTCCTCTGTGAAGCTGGAGCGACTGAAAGCAAAGGTAGATCTCCTCTCTTCATGCAGCCCATGTTAAATTCAGCCTAATGTAACCTCATATTTTTATTCCATAGATATCCGATGAGCGCGTAAAGGGACCTTCTTGCGCGTCGCACAACTTTTGGAGGCGCTCCATCAAGTAGAGAGCATCAACAGCACGCACGGGCGCACTTGAATTTTTTCTTTCTTTTTACTTGTTGGCTTTGCTCATCGCTGGAGATGTTCGGGCACGATATCTGCCTCGTCTCCTCGTTGCTGGCGGCTGCCTGTGCCGTGTTACCGGTGCTGCTGTTGCTGGTGGTCTCACGGCTGCTGTGGGAGTTCAGGTGGAGCATCACCCGGGATCGGGCGTGTAAACTCCCACTTCCGCAGGGCTCCATGGGCTGGCCGCTGGTCGGAGAAACTTTCCACTGGCTTTTCCAGGTAAGATAAATACAATTCCTCTCAGACATTGGATTCTGTATGAGTTTTGAGAATTATGCATTTCATTCTGTTTCATGTCTGTTAATTAGAAAGTCGCATGTGATGTAGGCTAGGCTATTATAGAACTATTGTAATGTTATTTAAAAAAAAAAGCCTATTTTTAATTTTCTTTTGAGGTTCATTTTTTTGAAAACCAAATGTTGCTATGGTTACCTGCTCAAGTAAAGCCGATTTCTTAAACATTTGTCCACTCCGACTCATCTAGGCTAGCCTAAACGTTTGTGGGTAGGCTACTGATCTTTAAAAATCTTAAACACAAAACGTGCTTTTGAAACGTATACACAGAAACGTAATTTACACACTGATTATGTTGGTATGTAAAAAAAATATTAAACGGCAAAAAGATCTACTGAAAGGGTCGATTTGAATGCAAACCTCATTTAGAATTTATTTTAAAAGTTAGGCCTAGTTATTTTATTTCTTCCATCATAAATGTAGGCCTGTTGGTGTGTTGTGTTATTTTGCTCATGTTATTGCATTAGCCTACATTTGTCAAGCAAAGTGTAATGATGAGCTCCTCTGCTGGCCTAATATACAAATACACATGGGGAATTATTCCGGGGCATGTGTGAACTTGATGGTTCAGTGTTGCCAATGCCAGAGTTTTCCCGCGGACTTTTAAGTTGTTGGTTTTTTTTTTTTTAAACCTTCACTGAGCAATTCGTCCGAAGGAGAAAATCGCATTGGGCTATTTTTAGGCGAATTTTGACTGGCCATTGGGTTGCACAGAGCCACCGACCTGGCAACCTTCATGGTGGTAAAAAGAAACATTTTTACCTTGATTTAATACACAGGGGCAGAACAGATAGGCTAAATAAATTCCAGAAGATGGATGGTCATGGAAAACCTTGAAATTATTAGGATTTAAAAAAAATCGTAGGCTATGTAGTCCTGGAATCCAGTCATGAAAATGAATAAAAATAACATGGACATTTCATATCAGTATAATAGATGTTTGTAGTTACACTCAACAGTAAAATCCTTATAGTCACAAACAACTGTAAAAGTCTAAAGGTCCGCCAACAAACACATGTCAATCACATGTTCAATCAGCATTTGTCTGTTGGGGGAGTGTGGACGTGACAGTTTTTTGGTTTTTTTTTTTTTTTTCATAAAATTCTAAACCCGCAATGGTCAACTGGTTTGTTGACGTGAATTGGCCTCAAAGCCCCCATGAAATCAAAATTGACGGGTTATTTTTACGTTTACAATGAATATGTTAGCTGTGCTGATATATATATAAACTAGTGTGCTCCAAAACAATGACACATTTTGCATTTAGAAGATATAAGCATTCAAAACGTCTCTCACTTCTGCCAATATGGATTAATGATTTTGATGATGTCACTCAGCGCTATAGGGTGACAAAGACGTCCAGAAATCTAAGCTGTCGTCCCGAATACCGAATCCGGCACCTTACTGAAAGCAAAATCTTGAGTAGTTAATGTCTGATAAAACATTAAAAACTGTCGGTGGAGATTACAGCCAGCCCTGCCGGCTGCTCATTGGCTGCAGCTTTCTTTTTCTGCAGTTTTTTTCTTCTAAAAAGATACCATAGTCGCAAATTTAGATATGCATTTATAAGCTCATTTTCATTAATTTGTTTCGTTGACATGCCGTCCGGAGCCCTAACATGTTCCAACCCTCTAAAAGTTGTTCATTAAATTTTAACAGGGATCCAGCTTTCACATTTCTAGACGAGAGAAACATGGAAATGTTTTCAAAACTCACCTTTTGGGAAAACCCCTCATCCGAGTGACCGGTGCAGAAAACATCCGAAAGATTCTGCTGGGCGAACACACGGTGGTGTGCACACAGTGGCCCCAGAGCACACGCATCATCCTGGGGCCCAACACTCTAGTAAACTCAGTTGGTGACCTGCACAAGAGGAAAAGAAAAGTAAGCTGAATGTTTGAAATGCATGTCCTCAATAAAAAAGGCATCAAATCGAAAAGTATTTTATGCTTAAGTTTAACACATTAGTTGTTATACTTCTCCTATAAATATCGCCGTATGAACCTTTTACCTCTTGAATACATTTTTTGAATACATTTCATTTCTAGCCATTACTGATCAAGTTACACACCCCAATTCACTAATCAAGGGGTTTACAGTGTGCATCATCATAATTACAAGTAACTAACTTCAAACCTAACGCTAACTCTATAGTACAAGTATATGTAGTTAATTTATATTAATCAGTACTTATTTGAGTAGGTAAAGTGTAACTATGTCACCTTAAAATCAAAGTGTTTTTTTAAGATTTAAAAAAAAAATAAAGACTGAAAGAGTTGTCAGAAGTTTGGGGATGGTGATGTTGAAGATAGTGTATGTAGGCTTCAGAATTCATAACATTTGTGTTAATTTGTGAAAATGATCTTGATTGACAAAATGTTCAAGTAACATGAACTTTTATGTTAAAAACTTTTGGGATTTGTCGAGGGAACCAGTGTTATGCTAACTTCTGGGTTGGCCTATGAAAATACATCACTGCAGCTCTCTATTTGCTTCCTAGATCCTTGCAAAAGTGTTTAGCCGTGGGGCGCTGGAGGCCTATCTGACACGACTTCAAGACGTGGTCAAGTCTGAAATTGGAAAGTGGTGCACCGAGACCGGGTCTGTGGATGTTTACGCCGCAGCCAAGTCACTCACCTTCCGCATCGCTGTGCAAGTCCTGCTCGGCCTGCACCTGGATGAGCAGCAAATCGCGTCTCTCTCTAAAACCTTTGAACAGCTCATGAACAACCTCTTTTCGCTTCCCATTGACACCCCCATAAGCGGCATGCGTAAGGTGAGAATGACCTTCCTTCCTCAGGCCAAATCCCACTTTATCTCACAGCTTGATGAATGTCCAAATCTTGGCTACTTTCAAAATCTTTTATGAATGTGGGTTGCAGGGAATCAAGGCTCGTGAGATTCTGCACTCTGCCATGGAGAGGATCATAGAGGAAAAACTGAAAAAGCAGCAAGCCAGCGATTACTGTGACGCTTTTGACTATATGCTGAGTAGTGGAAAGGAAAATGACTATGACCTTACAATGCAAGAACTTAAGGTAAAACCTATAGGCCAAATCCAAAAATATTGTGTGCTGTCTTGGATTATATCCACCCTTGTGAAAAAGAAGTGTGTTGAATGTGCACCTGTAGTGTACTTCAAATATGAATAGTATATTTAAAAATACTGTACTTGAAATAAAAGGCCACTTAAGTGTACTTACAGTAAACATTCATTAATTGTTTTAACACTCTTAAGTACACTTTGTTTTAATGTCAAAGTAAAAGTTTTACTTTGTTACATTTGGTGTTAGATTAAGCCAGGGCTTAATCATAGTTAATCATAATTACATAGGGCTTAGATTAAGCCAGGATTAGACATTCAAGTAGCTTTTATTAGCGTTAGAAAGAATAGTATTATATTTGCGTCTTGAGACAAAACAATGGCAATTTTAAGATATATCAGAGTTGCATTCAGTTAAAACAGATCAAACATGGATTTTAGTCTGGGATTAGGTTTAAACCTAGTCTGTGAATCCAAGGGTTTATGTGTGAGCTGTTTCAACTGAAAAGAACTTGCACTGACATAGATATGTACTTTCAACAGTAATGTTTTTTGTTCTTGTTGTTTTTTTCTAAGGCATGTTAATAGCTACTTAAATATCCTAATTGAACTAAGGCCTAATCCTGGCTTAATCTGAGCCCTGTCTGTGAATCCGGGCCTAAATCTACTAAATGCATCTTTATCATTACAAATGTGTAATTACAAATATATTTAAACATAGAAATGACATGATAGTATATTTTATTTACCAGTACGCTCCACAGTACACTTTAATCACATTTCAATGACAAAATAAGTAATTATTAAATTAAAAGTCCTAACAAAAATCACTTTTACTTAAATATAATATATTTTAATTTAACTGCAATTAATATGTAATTAAGTGTCCAAAAAAGTTATACTTTAAACCGTTTTATGGGAGAATTTAAAAAAAAAAAAATTATTCCAGGCTTTTTTTGGTAAATGAATCTATTAAAATGTATTTCAGGAAACGGCGGTAGAGTTAATCTTCGCCGCCCACTCCACTACCGCCAGCGCATCAACATCCCTCATCCTGCAGCTTCTGCGTCATCCAGATGTGTGCAGACGTGCAGGAGCAGAGTTAGAGAGCGAGGGCTTAATCAGCGACGCGCACGGATCCTGCCGCTCACGTTGCTATGGAAACATCATCAGTGAGGAAAGCGATGCTGCCGAGAAGAGTACCAGCGAGTATAGATCGAAGACGAATAAAAGTATGTGTTTTGAAGAAGGAGAAAAGGAAGAAGGTTGTCGTTCTCGGACCCATGTCCCTTACCTAAGTTTGGAGAAGCTGAGTCAACTTTCCTACCTGGATTGTGTGGTCAAAGAGGTGCTTCGGTTCCTTCCACCAGTGTCTGGGGGATACAGGACAGTTCTGCAAACATTTGAACTGAACGTGAGTGTTTCTTTTACAAGTACTGCTAACACCATTTTTTTAAACATTATTTAAAGTTACTGCATTTACAATAATAACCATATGCCGCTGATGAAAAAACATGTGCATCAAACTTTAAAATGATGTACGAAAAGTTGAATCATAAACTGATTTGGGGCTAGAAGGCAATGCACTCAGTCGAACGTGATCATTTCCAGTGTTGGAAAGTTGCTATTAAAAGTAATGCATAACAATATTACATTACTCCCAAATAATGTGTTATATTACTTTTGCGTTACTTTTCTCACCTGGGCTGGGCTTGCTTACAACAACAACAACAACAAAAAAAAGTTATATTTTTGGCAAATGTTAAATGAATAAGCCTCAGGCTGAATTAAATGCATATGTACTCCTGTACAGTAGAGGGCGCAGCTCAAACAAACCTTTCAGCTGTGTGGCCATTCTAGATTAAAGAAATATACAATACAGGAGAAGAAAGTTCAACACTCTTATTTCTAAATCTAATCTAAAGTAATTTTTGCTCATTATAGTATGGCTGAATTAGATCATTGAAGGTCAGCAGCAAAGAAATTGGTTAATAAAGTGAGAGTAAATACATAAAGTATAAAAGTTTCGCGTAAAATTCTGAGATTGCATTTCACTGTTTTTATTCATTTTGAGGAATACTGAATGTGTTCGTGCATGTGAGATGAGTTAATTCATGTTTACATTTAGTCTATAACAAAAATAACAATCATGTTTACACAACACAAACAAAACCCCCTCAGTTTATTTCGCTCAACATGGGGACAGGAGAGCTGTCAGTCAATAAATGTGAAAAGTAACTAGCATTACTACTATGGAAAAAGTAATTTAGATATTTTGTTGTAAATTGAAAAAATTAATGCGTTACTTTACTAGTTACTTGAAAAAGTAATCTGATTACATAACTCAAGTTACTTGTAATGAGTTATCCCCAACACTGATCATTTCTATATTGTGCATCTGCAGGGTTATCAGATCCCGAAGGGCTGGAGCGTCATGTACAGCATTCGTGACACGCACGAGACTGCAGAAGCGTATCAGAACCCGGAGCTCTTCGACCCGGACCGATTCTGTGCAGATAGAGACAATACCAAAACCGAGCGCTTCAGTTACGTGCCTTTCGGAGGCGGTGTGAGAAGATGCATTGGGCGGGAGCTTGCTTTGATTGTGCTGAAAACTCTCGCAGTGGAGTTGCTCGCCACGGCAGACTGCACTCTGGCGACAGAAACGTATCCCAGGATGCAGACGGTGCCAATCGTGCATCCAGTCAACGGACTGCACGTGTTTTTTAACTACAGAACCCACGGGATCGAGAGAAACCGGAGGGAGTCCACGCATATATAAATAAATAAATAAATAAAAAACATCAATTAGACACTGTACCACATACGCATAAACGTCAAACTGCCTTTGGGAATCATTTGCAGTCGTAAGCAGTTTCCTTCCTGATGTTTACGCAAAGCAAAACATCTGGAAATCTGATGGAGACTTGACAAAGTCATTAGATAATGCAAAGTCTTGAACTCTTGTTTGTTAGTAAACTTATGAAAAAGGGTAAATTATCCACTAGAATGCATGAAAAAGGTGTGTAAAATACATACAAAAACACATTTTGATTTGCATGAGGACATCGATCCTACACATCTTGTTAGGAGGAAAAAAAGAATAGAAATGCATTAAAATTCATCTCAGCGTTGTATGCGGTATATAAACAAAACCTGTTTTTATGAAATGAAGTAGTAACAAATAAGCTCTAATTATATATGTATTTTTCAAGTGAATAGGGATAGCTCACTAAAAAGAAATAATATTATGCCACTTTCTAATTTCTAAAAGACTAGTTATCTGTACAGTACATACTGTCATTGTTGCGACTCTGTATTCTAATACTTACAGAATGCTTTAAAGTACATAAATAGGCAAGTAATACATAGTTATTTGTGATTATCATGAATGTAAGCTGTGAAAAATGATCTTTGCGCTGTGAACTGGAGTTTCAGTTTAAATACAGGGAAGGAGAAAACAAGCAGCACTTTTTCTCCAAATTAGGAGTATATGTGTATTCTTGTCGTGTCGGTACTTGTGTGTAATTTGTAGTTCCTGTGCTAGTGTTTGTCTTGTTCGGTAGTGCTCGTTAATTTTATATCTTTTATGATATCTATTTTGAAATGTGCATTTGGAGCTCTTCTGTTGTTAAAGATGTTTCTCTTCAATAAAGAGATTTAATGTGTTTATTTGGACTTTGTTCAGCATGAGCATTATTTTGGGGGTCAGTGCTATTTAAAAAAAAACATACACAAATTAATAAACATTATAATACAATAATTGAAGCAAAAAATTGGTGTGAGATTTTTTTGAAATAAATTAATATATTTACAAAGGATACATTTAATTGAACAGTGAACAGATACATTTAACAGAACTTCAAGTGACAGTGAAGACATTTATAATGTAACAAAAGATTTCTATTTCAAATAAACAGTGTTCTTTTGAACTTTCTGTTCATCAAATAATACTGAAAAAAATGTATTAGGGTTTCCACAAAAATATTAAGCAGCACAAAGGTTTCAACATTGATAATAATAAGCAACGTTTCTCTAGAAACAAATCCTCATGAGGTCACGTGACACTGAAAACTGGAGTAATTATGCTGAAAATTCCTCTTTGCAATTACATAAATACTAAAATTTCTAGGTTATTGCAATTTCTGCAGTGAAGGTCTCATCATCTGACTTATCTCATCTAGACAAGCATTAGGATGTTACGTTAAACACTAAACTCTAACATGAAGGACAAGACTGAAGCCTCTGAGTCAATACCTCTCTTATCAATACAATCTATTTGATAGCAGTTTAAAAACGAGTATGGACATAAAACTCATCATAGACTAATATAGACTAACAGTAATAATATTCACATTAATCAGATATTGGTTGTGTCTGAAATCGCCCCCATATCAATATATCACATTTATTTCTAGAACACAAATTCAGTAGGGGGATTGAAAGCAAGATTGAATAAGTGCACTCAATAATGTCCACAATGGTTTCGGACACCCAAATGGCTGTTACCTTAAATAGTCCTCTATTTAAAGTCTCTATGAAACGTTTTTTTTCTTTTTTTTTGGTTTTTAGTATGAATGTGTTAGCCTACTGTTATCTATAAGCTAGTGTGCTCCAAAAACAATGCCAAAATTCGCATTTAAAAGACCAAACCCAATGTTGAAAATGAAAATCAGGTTGATGTCAGACTCCAACGTCGGACTGACGTCAAATCAAATTGTATTGAGGTTGAAAATGAAAATCGGGTTGACGTCAGAACCAAATCCAACATCTTTTGACGTTGGATGTTGACTTCAATCTGACGTCAAACCGACTTTCATTTCCAACCAAAATCCAACGCCGGACAGACAAAATCATCCACTAACTGATGTTACTACTTTCTACTCAAGGACCTTGACAGAAATGTAGTACATTAAAAAGTACGATATTTGTCTTTCAAATGTTGTGAAATTAAAGTAAAACGTTTCTAGAACAAATAATGCTCAAGTAAAGTACAGATTCTCAAAAAGTGTACTTAAGTACAGTACTCAAGTAAATGTACTTTGTTACTGTCCACCTCTGCCTAAGACTAGCAGCCGAAGGGTACACAGGCATACCAGATGGAGAATATACTGTGTGTCTCAGTGAGTGTCAAGGGTGAGAGAGTTATTGGTAAGGATGGGACATGAGGTGGAGGATGGGGAGTGGTAGACAGGGACAGCTAGAATTTAGAAAGTGTAGGGAGAAACAAAGTGAAGTGACTATCGTGGGAGACTGAAATTTCTTCAATCATTTGGAATCAGTTCAAATGGAATCAAATAAGAACCCAAATGGAGTCTAATGAGACAGTGCTGAACATTTCAGTGTATTTTTTAGAATTGTAGATTCTTAGTGCCCTTTAGAACTGGTTCCAAATTAGTATAAAAATTACAAGATTTTTTTCATTGAAGGCAAAATAGATCAGAATGAGAAATAAAGATGGAAAAAAAAAACTGATGATGAGCAAATAAACACAAAATTGTGCAAGCTTTGTGACTCTGCTGTGATCTTGACTTTTGACCTTAAAAATGGAGGAGAAAAAGGTTGTAGGCTGCATCTGAAATCGCATACTTCCCTACAGGCAAAAAGTTCCCGGATGACCTACTTCCGAAAAGATTCTGAAGTTTGCATACAATGAACACTTCATTATCCCTTGAGGAAACAGAAGAGGATTTGTGAATGCCGGTAAAGCGATGTAACTGTTGCTGGCAAGTCATGTAATAATAACAACAAGGCGAATGTAGTACGTCCGGATTACATTCATACCATACTTTTTAAATGGTCGAGAAGTGTAATTACTTATTCAAAATGTGGTAAGTACCTACTCAAGAGAGTGAAAATGAAAATCAGGTTTCAGATGAATCAATAGTCCAAGCAAAGGTTCGGCTCAGTCAACCCCAGCTGGTAAATTCTGTAACGGTCAGCAGATTTTTTAGACTGTTCAATAAATTTTATCATTTTCTGTGAAAGTAAAATTACACTTGCGGTAATCCCATTAAAAAGCTACATTTTCTTAAAAAAAAAAAAAAGTAATTACAATTACTTCATTATAACTTGTATAATACATTATATACATTACGCAATAAACATTTGTGATATAGTGTGAATAATGATATTTATAATAATATTTGTTTCTGCTCTGCTGAAGTCAGTGTTAACAGACATCTTCTTCTTCTTTTTTTTTTTTTGGGTCTAATATGTATTGAAATCCATGTGGTGTCATCCTATTTCTTTCATTAGTGTTCCATCATGCCCTTGAGGCAGGATGTTGGTTCAGCTGAACTTCTGAACCGGATTACTTCTTGTGTATGTGTGTATAATGTCACACCTTCAATCATCTGCCAAAAATGTAACTGCCAAAATGACTTAAACAGTGAGATAGACTGGTAAGGTTACAATCAGCCATCCTAATAAAGAGTTTAGATGTCAAAATCCATATTCCAAAGTATCTTTAAGATTCATAAATCCTTTCAGGCATGAAGCATCGGCCGCAACAGGTAACATCTGAAGTGTTTGTGAGGGGATCTGTCATGGTGGAATCTGTTTATGTGATGTGTCATGACCTCTTTTGGCAGCATCAGTATGTGTTGGAATGCAGAAACAGCAGCTGGTGTCTACACTGTAATTACCCTATGCTTCCTGACCCAAACACACACCGTACCTACATGTACTACACTACCACTCTGTAGACAGAGCTCACAAAACAAGGGCAAAGGACAGTACACACAATATTTATATAGGCAAATTGCTATATCACATCAGATCTTTTGTATGAGACAAATAGATAGATAGATAGATAGATAGATAGATAGATAGATAGATAGATAGATAGATAGATAGATAGATAGATAGATAGATAGATAAATAGATAAATAGATAGATAGATAGATAGATAGATAGATAGATAGATAGATAGATAGATAGATAGATAGATAATGGCAGATCATGTTATTTCCTTTTGTTGTTTTGAAACATAATCCTCCTCACCTTGGATGCACATTACTGTACTTCCTTAAGGGGAATATTCGTTCACGAGGAAAATATGAGGTGAAATATCCAGCTGACTTTGATGGGACTTGCTGTTGACATAAGTTGACTGAATTTGAGTTATACAGAAATTCTCCTCAAAGCCTTGGGTGAATCCCAGCAAACGGCAGTGCTGCATATTTTGAAGCCATTCATCAGACACAGATACTGAAGTTGGGTGGGGTTCCAGGGTTCAATAACAGGGTGACTGACATGCTTTAATAAAGAAGAATCAGCTCAATGATAATGCTACACCCACTGTCAGCACATGTGCATAAGCTTTTGATGCTGCAAAAATGCTTATGAATGAATGGGTTCAGCTCGACTTGGTGTCTACAACTCTTTAGGGAGGACTTGGTGGAGTTTCATGGGTAAATGCTCTTTTTAGTGCTAAAATCAAATGGGATTAGAAATACAGTACAATGGAATCTCAATTTGCGATGGTCACCAGTGATACTGTCACTCACAACTGATTAATAAAGAAACTTTTTGAAAGTCATTTAGTTGTTCAGACAAGCTTGGCCTGCTGAAGGCTTTTACTTCAATTCCTTAAGTTTCATTCAATATCTTCCAGTGTCAATTCCATTCAAAGCAAGTTGCTTTAATAGGCATTTAAAGTCAGCATGAAACGGCATTTACTACCCTATCTCACGACCAATTCGTACGAGTGATTAAAAAGTGGCTAATTCGTACTAATTCGTACTAACTCGTACTAATTCGTACAACCTCACTCGTATGAATTCATACGATTTGTCTAAACCCACGTGATGGTTAGGTTTAGGTTGCGGGGTCAGGGGTAGGTCATTCGTACAAATTCATACGAATTGGCCAATTGGTAAAATATGTACTATTTAGCAAAATCTTACTAATCTGTACGAGTTAGGTCGTATGAAATGTTACGAATTAGCCACCTTGTAAAATTCGTACGAATTCCCGTGAGATCGGGATGGCATTTACCACACATTTTATTACCATAATGTGATGTATGTGTTCACATGAAAGCAAAACACACAATCTGGATCATCTAAACGGGCACATAACAGTGGTTCCCAACAATAGACTGTAAAAAAAAGATGGACGACGCCCCTTCGCTCTTTTCCATTGGTCAGAAGTGAAGCCGCCAGTGTCCCGATATGGCGCTGACATCTTGGAACTTGAGTCTGCGCAGAAGCGATTTCGGGACCAGACCTATTTTTTACAGTCTATGGACCAGACATGCGCAGTAGTGAGCATGAAGTAAAGCCGGGAAATCTCACTCTCGCAGAATCAATCGCAAGCACACGGTCCGGCACTTTTTTTCAATTAATGATAGAAATTTACATATTAAATTCAAAGCTCCAATCATCTCAGTTTTACCAAGATCTCGAAAAAAAAGTCTGTTGGTGCTTCAGTGACTACTTCGTTCAGAGAACCTGTCAAACACAGCTGTCAATCATGACCTCACCACCTCATCAAATAACTAACTAAAAGCAAACTTATTTTAAAAACAAAGACTTGAAATTACATCAGCGTGATAAAAACGACCGTAAATGACAGAAAACATATTTGGAAAAACAATATTTTAAGTGTAATTCAATTGTTTGGTTGGTCTCACGTGCCGTTGAATAACATGGGGAGGCGGGGTTTATGACCTATACTAGGACCGGCCACAAGGGGGGTGATCGAGACGTTTTGGCTTCACTTTTCGGGACATGTGCGGCATGCTTGTCTCCAATCTTTGTTTGTCCTAAATCAGAAGTGTCCAGTAATCCTAAAGTTTAAGAGTTTAGCTTCACAAAGTTTCTAGTGACCTTGAAGACCTCGATTAGCAAGTTTAAGTGTTTAATTAGGGTTGGTGAATACACAGGTGTATCCTTCCCTCGCATCCTAAGGAGGTGAAGCTTAGACGTGAGGAAAGGAAACGAGGATGCACAAATAAGAAATGAGAAGCACCGATACTTATAAACTTCAGGCAGATCCATAGATGATTACATTGTGACATCACAACAACAACTTGCAGTGCTCACACTAACCTTACTCAAAAGTGATAAAGCTTAGCGTGGTCCATTTAAACCCATTGTAAGGGTTCCGCCAGTAGTGGAAACTCGAGCAACATAAGCAGGACTGACGTACATCTGAGTGAAAAAGACAGAGGGAAGTTAGCGAGGGAAGGGCATATTAAAATGAATTGCAAACACATCAAAATAATTGTCCCAGGCCTGCTCCTCTTTTGTCTTGCACTGTCGTCACTCCTCTTGTCCTTCCGGAGCTTCTCCACGGCTCTAGGCCTCACCCTGCATGCAAAAGCAACCTAAATTATTTTGATTATTTTCTGATATTGTTGTAACTTAATTTATATTTACTTCACTTTATAAACTGTTTTGTCATGGTCATGAACTACATATAGCCTTTTAACGGTAAATATATATATATATATATTTTTTATTCTTTATTCTGAAGGCATTATTGTCACAGGTTCTTTTGCTTCTTTATACAGACAAAACCAGTACAGTATGGCCTGAAGCAACAATCCTGCAAGTTCAGTCTCAGGTCATATTGTTCTATGATTTTCCAAAAAATCAGGCTTCCTCCTAGGCTTCATACCTGTGCTGATGAATCACCTTTCAAACACTTTATTTCCACACCCACATATGAACACAGTCAATGACCTGATATTGAACCTGAGGTACTTTTTCTGTACCCGGTGTGTTCCAGTTGTTGTGCTTTCTGAATGTGATTATGTGCTGAAAGTAAGAAAGTGACATCATTCCAGGCTTAACTGCTTCCATTACATAAATAAAAAAAGTACTATTTAAGTTTGTATGCCTACTGTCCATTATGATTTGTGGGAAATCAGTCTTTCTGGAATCTGGAAACAGCATTTGGGTTGCTCATAGATGTGATTGAATAAAATAGGATATTCAAAGGGAAGTGATTTGAGAGGTGACTAAAATAATGAGGGCTTTTTAAAAATGTTGTTTAATTTCCTGTTTTTTGCTTTTTAAAAAATTGAAATTAGTTTAATTATGACTGTTTAATCATGCCATAAGCATCAAGTTTGGAAAAATCTTCCTTGAGAAATCAAGCTAATATGCTGATTTATGTTGTAAACAGTTGTGTTGCTTAACTTACTTTTTCAGGATTCTTTGATGATTAGAAAGTAAAAAAAAAAAAAAAAGCAAGCATTTAAAATAAAAATGTGTTCAACAATATATACCATTCAGAATTTGGGGGTCAGGCTTTTTTTTATTAAAGAAATTATTTTATTCAGCAAGTATGTGTTAAATTGATAAAAAAAAGTGATAGTTAAGATTTACATACAAACACAATATTATATTTAAACCAACAAAAGTAGGTTTATGTATGAAAGAGACATAATAAAAACACATATTTTTTTATTATTATAAGTTGAACACAAGAGAATGCACTGACGACGCCACCCCACTGTGTATCTCCCTGCGCAGTAATACAATGCCCGTCAGGCCTTGGAGGAGGAATTAAAACAGTTATTATAGTTAATGCCTGCTCTCTCTCAACCTGTTCCGTCAGCTACATGGAGCGCCACAGGCTGCGATTACAGCAAGGAAAGAATAAAAAAAAAGAGGCTTGCGGTTGAAAGTTGTGTCCCGGCTTCTTTAATACTCCCTACTCCTGAATCTTGTGGTTCACCTGAGCACTGTTCACCTGCGTCAAAGCTGACATCATCACCATGAGGCCTGGAACAGGTCAACGGCGGTTACCTCAGTTCAGGGGAAGTGGCCTTCAACACAGTGCCATCTACTGGTGACAGACGGACATGTACGTTCAAGCTCATTATTTTACAGGCATTTATTTCAAAGCTTTTCCCTTGAATGTGAAGATTAAAACAAACGCATTTTCAGCAATGTACTGAAATATACACAACTATACATATGTAACACTTCACTTCTCCTTTTGGAAAAAAAATAACTGGTCTCTTAAGTATAGTTCACCCAAAAATGTAAATTCATTTTTTCAGTGGAAAAAAAACAAAAAAAATCTCTATAAATCAATTTTATGATTATATTCCCCATGGAATTTCAAATCTCATGGTCCAATTTAAAAATGTCCTCACCTGAAGGAACTTAAATCCCTACAATTGCATGATGTTCCACAGATAAAATGCCAGCATACAAGTTTGGAACAAAAACAAGTGGCAGTAATATAAATGACATAATGGAAAAGTGCTAAGGCGTGCCACACCGAACGTGCCTTACGGTACCGAGCAGTGGAAAAGCGCCCTTAGTCTATCTGTATGGGACAACATTCTGACACTGGTCAACTGTGCTTAGGAACTGATCAAATGTTTCCAAAGTCCTTGTCTCATTCACTATCAGCTCCATTGTGGTCAATTAAATGCTTGTCTTCCAAAAGGTGGACCTGTAAAAAACACACACGGCAATCCATTATAAAGAAAAGGTCTGATTCTTATACATTAATAATAAATGTAATATAAATAAATCAAATACAAGTCACTATAGATAAAAGCGTCTGCCAAATGCATAAAGGGATGTAAACATAAGGAGACTACACATATAATATTTGGACGCAAAATACTGAGATCAACCAACCAGAAATAAGTACTCCAGAAAATTAATTAATTAAGCACTTTAATAGTCTTATGAAATGACATTTCTGTCCATGTTTACCTGCGGCTCTAAGATTCGCTGGTAGGTGGGGCTGGACAGTTCATCAAGAGTTTCGGCAGAAGGTTTATTGAGTGTCTCCGGTAGGAGGAGCCCCAGGCAGCCCGCCGAAATCCCACTCAAACAGAACACCATAAAAGGCATGGAGGCGTGCAAGGGTTTCTGAAAGAAAAAAAAAAAATCAGTACATAATCAATTAATATAATAATGATAATACACATTTATTGTATTATACATTTTTGTTATATGTATAATATTCATAAATTACTAATTATTAATTACACAAGAAAACTTTGAGAATTTTTTGTAAAATGATAAAATTGGCATTTCTTCATTTTACAATAGCTACGTACCAAACTCGGCACAAACGGTGCCAGAATTCCCCCAACTCTACAGGACATAGAACACACACCCAACCCTGCATTCCTAACACACACAAACACACTTACATTAGAATGAATCCCGCAGTGGGGTACTTTTGTTTTGTACTGACCAGAGGTCACATTAAGTGTGGTGTTGAACATAGGCTTGCTACTCTTGTGATGAAAAAAAAAAATATAGAATTTATCAACAATTCATTAAAAGATTAACTATTTTTTAAGGCAATATGAAATCTGTTTTATTTTTATTTTTATCCAATTTAATAGTTGAAATCGATTTTAATAATCAAGAAGCATGTCTGATCATTTTTTTTTATGTTTGCAATTTTTTTTAATGAAATCAAATATTTTAAAATGTAATTATTAATGAAAAATGTGACCACTCCTTTATTTTTTAGCAAACAAAATGCTGCAGGTTTACTGTTAAAATTAAAACATGGAAGAAAATGTACAATTCCTTAAAAAATAAAAGTTAATACTTTTATTATTTTTATTATTATTATTACTTACTGCAGTGAGAAGTACATTCTACTGTAGTGCTAAATTTCTGTTATAATTTCTTCAAGTTAAACCACACATGATATTATTATGATTACATATGATATGATTCAGCGATTCCATATGCGTCCATATGCAGAAATCATAGGGGGCCCTTTCACGGACCCCTGATCTAGCCTACTGTATATCCTCATCCTGTAAGTTCACGATTCAAAATAAAAATGGGAATGAAAACAAAAGCTCTTATTATTATTCAAATTTAAATTAAATTGAAAAGGTAATATTATTAATATTATAACGGAATTTGTATGACCCTGTACGTCAAAATGATGGACGATGAGAAAGTCTACTGTGGTACTGACATAAATGACTGACATTACCTACACTAGAGGGCGCAGTTTACTCAAGAATATATTCTTATTCTGTAAGGACATACATTTTATTACACATTTCTACTTATATAAGACCTAAAAAAAACATTACGTCAAAACATGCAAGTAAAGTACCTGATGACAGTTGGGTAGAGCTCTGATGTATACACATACGCAATATTAAATGCAGCACTGACCAGCAGTTTTCCAACTAAAGCCAATGATGTGGCACTTAATAAGGACCCTAAAAAAAGCAAACAATAGGCTTAACATGATGTATAATTAAGGAGAATCTTTTTATGTTCGTACAAATATTGAAAAATAATTTCCCAAAAATTTGCTGGGAAAAGGGAAATTTGCTGCTAAATATATAGAAATCTGTATATACTACATACTAAAAAATGTATACTTTTAAAGCACAATTTAAAAATAATTGCATAATAAAATAACTGCAAACCTAAAACTTTTCTTATCTATAATCATGTTAAAAAATAAACCTACTGTATGATGACAGATATACTCTGCAAAATGGGAAATTTGATTCTATTGAAAACCTAATTTATTCGGAAAGATGATCACCTGATACAGGTAAAAACGTTGAGAGCAAACAGGATACACCTGCAAAGGCGAGAAAATTGGCCATTGACTTCCTCCTGCCTGCCCTGAAAGAAAACAAATACGCTCAGATAATAATCGGAGAGAGAGTCTGATCCAGCAGCGTGTGGATGTGATTGTGCGAGTGTATTTACCACTGTTTGTTAATGAAGTACATGCAGAGAGGGTAAGCAGGGAGTTCCACCAGCCCATACATGGCAACACTAAGGTAACGATTACCTTTCTCTTCACTGGCACTGAGGGTCAATCCGTAATACACAAGGCTACAGGCATACCTGCGAAATATGCATACACACAAAGATTGAGTACATACAAATGCAAAAGTGTTCAAATAGTTCAATGCAAATACTCACCACACATACATGAGCACCACAGTCCTCCAGCGCAGTATGGGATGTGTGAACAGCTGGAAAACCCCAGGGCTGGCTGCGTCCGGAGTGCTGGGGTTGGCGGTCCGGCGGAGCTTCACTAGAATTCTGCCTTTCCCGTTCCTCACAGCAAAATACTGCAGGATGTCCTCGGCCTGCTTTGTGCGGCCCCGAGAATAAAGCCAGCGTGGAGATTCTGGCAAATTCCTGCCATAGTCAGGGAAACAGAATCACAGAAATTAGGTAGACATTCACATTTTACATTCAAGAAAGCATGTTTAAGAGATATGACATTTTAGATTATATTTTGAGTGGTGAATTTTTCAAGTGTTTCAATTATAATACAGGATTAAGACATATCCATGTGGTTGAGCTAGTTTTTTGCTCTTTTGCCACATTTATTGACATGCAATATCAGTGAAAGGACAGGAAATTACATAAAAATATGATATTTAAAAATGTAATTTTAAATGTAGTTTTGTTGTTGTTAATTAGTTATATATATATATATATATATATATATATGAAGAGTTCAGATGCAAAAGCCTCTAAAAGCCATTTGAAATTTTCTTCTTTAATGATGATTTTTATCAAACTTGTATATTTAAGTTCAGTAATTTCACTTAAATGGCAAAGATAATTACCTATTAATTGTTATTTAAGTGAAATTACTGAACTTTAATATACAAGTTTGATAAAAATCATCATTAAAGAAGAAAATTTCAAATGGCATTTAGAGGCTTTTGCATCTGAACTCTACATATACAAACATAAAATTAACGAACAAATTTCAAATTACAAAATATCATTCAAAAGTTTGGGGTCAGTAAGATTTTTTTTTTTTGAGAGAGAGATATAAATACTTTTTCAGTAAGTAAAGACATACGAAGTAAACCAAAATTATATTTCAAATAAATGCTCAAAAAGAAGGTTTGAAATCGCTGCCGTTTCTGACATCATAAACTACCTTGTAACCAATCACGTCAACGTGTGATCATCAATGAGTGGACCTCTGAGCTGGTGTGAGTAAGTGAAGGCGGGGTTAATTTGCATATTCATAGAACTGCATATACTAAATGAGGCAAGGGTGTAGAGTTACATTCAAGCTATTGTAAGGCAATTTGTTTTTAACACGTCATTTTGTTGATTAAAGATGAATTTTAAATGATCGAATTATTGATAAAGAGGTACTTTAAGAGAACACAAATAACTTTTTTGTCTAGAGTACATCTTTACAGAGGAAAAGCAGCTTTACAAAGCCCCTTTTCACTGTAAACAAATTCCTTGTGACAATATCATCCTGGTGGCTTTTAATGAAATCACAGTGCTGTAGTTTAACAGGAAGTAATGATCCGACTAAACCGCTTACTTACACACAGAGCAGGAAGAGCAAAAGTCCTGGACAGTTGGCCACAGTTGCTAGGTTTCGCCACGGCCGAACATAATAACCTAAGGCGCCAAACAGAGCGATGCCCACTGCAAAGGTCATATTAGTCAAGGTCCCTGTATCAAAGACAATAACATTCGCTTTATAAGACTACTGTGAAAGTAAACAACAAAAGTGATTTTATCATTAATTAATATGCACCTGTCATAGCCCAGTAGGACTTTCCCACATATTCCTGAGTGAGAACAAAGCAGACCAATGCCATTCCTCCATTCATCAACCCCACTAGCAGACGAGACACGGCAAACAACTCATAGCTGGGCGCTAACGCCGTGCCATACCCAAACAAGACCTCGAAAAACAGACCTGAGAGAGAGAATATTGTTAATAACAAATCACAATAATAACAACACATTAAACTGTTTAAAGAAAGATTAGGTTTTATGTTTGTTTCTTTGCTCTTGGCTTTCAGTCGGTTGTGTATCAGAAACAAAACATAACTTCTTTGTAAAGCAGCTATAGATGGTCAAATAGATGGAAAAAGAAATGGCTAATGACAATTGAGAATGCTATTTGCATTCTCAATTCTAAATACTACAATGATGTAATCCCAGATGATTAAATTAAGCACACAAAACATTCCATCATCAATTAAAAACATTTCAAATTGTATTCCTAAAAAAACCGAGAGATGAGTCAAAGCTTACACCACTCCTATATCATGTCATACATCGTCAAGTCAAGTGTTACTCTTTTGGCGTGTTCTAGGATGGCTTCAGGGTGAGTAAATCATGGGCTAATTTTCATTTTTGAGTGAACTATCCCTTTAAGGCTGACATTATCTACAAAAAAAGTTTAAATAGAGCTTAAAGGTTAGAAAACCTATATATTTGAGGTCTTGAAAGCACTGTAATAATATGAAACTGTAATTATAGTTTAGTAAAGAACAGAAACCAGTTAAAGGGATACTTCAGGATTTAGCATTAAGCTTTGTATTAGTAGAAAACCTGTTGTATTTTCAAATTACCATGCTTTCCACCCTCATATAACCCCTGAAACGTGAGATTTATGTATTTTTTTTATGCAAAAATCGCCATTTTGCATCCTTCTGAGGATTTTTTGGCCAGAGGCTAAAGACTACAGTGAGGAGTCGGGGCTGTCCCACATATTTTCAACCCACCCATAGAGGGTGGGATCTCACTCACAGAATGTACACAGTGTCAGACATCTTTTTTTTGGAAGCTAAACTAGCAGGCTCTTGTTCCGTGGAGAAAGCGGAGTAACTTATTAGGAGAAAGGGGAGTAAGAAGGGGTGTAGTTTTTACATGAACGCTAAACAAGTGATTGGTTGATGTGCGTTTTAACATTGCTAAGAAAATTCGGTAATCGGTAATCACGCCACCGTTGAGAGAGGGAGTTGTTGTCTTTTATCCAAATAAGCCAAAAATACATTTTCTCGCTTTTCTCAGTCTAGAAAGCTCCAAATTCAAAAATATTTTCACATTTCTTCTACATAAATGACCCATTTTAAAAACACATCTTTCCAGAGGTGGAGTATCCCTTTAATCTAAATCCTACCAGTTAGAAAAACCGGCTTCCTTCCAATCTTATCAGAGAGTGGTCCAAACAGGACATTTCCGATCAGCACACCAGCAAAGAACAGGGACCCAGCCAAGTTCACTTTGTAGGCTTGATGTTTAATTAGGTACCACTGCAAGAGAAATATCAAAAAGTTTGAATATGCATTCATTCATCTGCTGTCCTATCCAGACACAAAGATTTTAATATAAACACAGTAATAATTTGATAAAAGTATAGATTTGTATTCGAAAGACTGAGCAAGCTTAAGCCAAGTTTGTTTGATGCACAACACTGATGCCAGTCTCTTACCTCAGTCACGATTGAGCTGACATCTTCAGTGAACTTCACACTGTGTTGAGTTACATCACTATCCACACCTTCAGTAAAAGGTTCTACATGATATTCTGGCACAGCACCCACTAAAATTATGAGCATGGACTGACATGCCATGTAAATCTGTTAAAAAAAAGACAAATATTTCAGGTTACTTAACTTTCATTGATCTAGGCCTAGTTCCTTCCACTAAATGAACAATATTTATAAACTCTGATATGTAAGTGATCATCACTAGTGTGTTCAGAAAGAAGCATTTTTTCTTTCAGGATAATCTTATACGTGGCTTGAGTTATGGATTGAAGACGTATCTTCCCCCGATTCTGGCTTTCCTGAAGAACCACCAGATCATCACTAATCCTCCAATTACACAATGGGTGTAATTTGAGAGACTGTGGGTTGTAGGCCTCTTTAGTTCTCTGTCTAAACATTATAGGACCAGGTGTTGGGCAAAGCTGAAAACTGGTTTTATCAGAGAAGATCAGAATCAGTTAGATCTGTCTTTGTGAAGGATGCGTGACACAAGCCACGTACAAGGTTAGAAAAAAATCGAATTCCCCAAATCGAAGGATTGGCTTTTCCAACAGGAAAATGCTCCATGCCACACAGCAAGGCCAATCAAGATTGAGGACGAAGGATCACCAGATCAAGACTCTGTCATGACCATCCATCACAATATCCAGACCTGAACCCCAATGAAAACCTCTGGAATGTGCTCAAGAGGAAGATGGAAAATCCCAAGCCATCAAACAAAGCTGAGCTGCTTGAATTTTTTGCCAGGAGAGTAATATACTGTAGTCAATACTCAATAGTCATCCAACAGCAATGTGAAAGTCTGGTGGTGGAGAGCAAGCCATTGCCAAGATGCATAAAAGCAGTATTTGGAAATCAGGGTTACTCCACCAAATATTGATTTCTAAACTCTTCCTAAGTTTAAACATTAATATCATGTTTTTTTGTTGTTGTTTTTTTAATGAATAGAAGCTTAAGGTTGCTCATGAAATGAAGCTTGTTTTCTTTACATTATTCAAGATCTGAAAACATGGCACTTTTTTTTGTTTTGTTATTTTGACCAGTTGTCATTTTCTGCAAACACATTCTCTAAGCTCATGTATTTAATAATCTTTAAATAATTGTGCTTATATGTACTGTGACAAACATGATATGCCAGCTTCATGACTAAAATTTTATGGGACATTTTTTTTTATATTTAGGTTCCATTAATAAACATCCTGCAATCTTCATTAAAATGAATGCTACATTTTTTTAAAGCCTATCTGACTCATATTGAGCAATAGGTAGGAAAAACATACATTTGGAAGCAGGATATTCTGAATATTAATTCAAAGCATTACTTGACATTAACATTTTATGTTTTGTTGCCCAGTAATGGCTCCATGGCCTTTAATTGAAACCTCAATACTGACATATAACGATAACCATATGCCTGACTTATCTATCAAATACATCCCCCACTGCAAGAAGATAATGCAAATATGACAAGGCTTTAAAGGTTTGAACCCTCAAATATAGGTTTTGCATAATTACTGGCTTGTGTTACCAGAAATATAAAAATATACCTAAACAAACATGTTAGTCCAGTGTTTACTGATTTGCATGTTTCATGTTAACTTACCTGTAGGAAAACCAGGATGGTGATCATCCGCTTCTGGTGTCTACCGAATTCTCCAACCACCTGGAAAGCCTCCTCTAAATCCATCCCAGGGTCAAAACATCCGACAGCATGCCATCGAGTATATTTTTACATTTTCAATAATGGATCTGATAACAACTGAGGTTTCAGATGCTCCGCAGTAATCTGGCTTCCCCTCGCAGACGTGGAATGAAACCACGTGGTACATAGAGTGATTCTGATTGCACGAGACGCTGGCATAAAAACACGTGCTTTAGACAACGGTTCTGATTGGACTAGTGAAAACTGAAATTGAAACGGAGCTTCCACGTTATTTTTTTAAGTTAAATTTTAACAGACAAACGTTATTGTCTAGCCGTGTTGTCAAAACACGGAAGACTGATTCGCCAGTGGTTGTCAAGATTGTTATATGGTTTTTTTAATTTAGGAGAAAAAAAAAGGCGGGCTCTGGTAAATTGACAATACTCTGACGTTTTGTGCTCCAACTTAAATAAGAGTTCATATCTAGTTACGTTTTTTATTAGTAAACATTAGGACATAACTGTTCCTAAATACGTTTTCTCGATATGGGCGTGTAATTTACGTTGTTGAACAAAACGACTGAAGTATCGTCAACTGAATTCTACCCCACACACCTTATTTTACTCCTAAATTGAAAAACCCACGGACAAATCTCGAGGAAAACACTAATGGGTGAAGAGGCTTTTTGGCGTAGAGGCTGCAGCACTTTTTTTATAAAAGATGATCAATGTTATTACCGAACTAGACTATTTTAACAGGTATAAGGAAATAAACCAAATATGAAACGCTCATTTGTCCACTTGAATTGAGATAATTAGAACCATGCACAAAATTGTAACCATTAATACAAATCTATCTATCTATCCATCTATCCCCTTAGCACCCTATTTTCAATTATTTGAAAGATTTGTGCATCGTTCTCAATATGGAAAGTTTCATTAACTAAGGTTTGAGCAATTCTTACAATTAAATTTCTTTATTAATTACATGAATTCAAACCTCCTGCAAACATTTTCATTATTGTAATAAGAACCTTAAATTGCTTTGTGGAAAACCAAATCACCAAAGCCAACCAATATTACATTCAAACAATTTTAATAGAAAGAATGAACTTTATACAGACATTTCAAAATAGAACCATATTTTAAAATATGTTTTATTGGTTCAAATATGGAGTGAGCATTATTTTAGCTTTTAATTAAACAGACAAATATTCAACAAAAACAAACCACAAAAAAGTAAGCTCTAAACTCTAGTGAAACTAACAGGAAAATTAACAGTAAGAAATCACCCAGAAGGTATAACTTTTAATATTAAACTGTGACTGAGGAAACAGACATGAAAAAGCAAGTACACAGACAAAACATGTTTAAAAAGACTTAGACAGAAGTTTAAAATGATGTACTTCTGTACATCTAAGGAGAGTAAAAACTGCAAAAATTTAATTCTGACACCTGAGTGGTAGTTTCGAACGTGGTGGCGTATTCATAGACTCATTCTCCACCTTTGAACGGTTCAAGGACTTATTGCTGTTTTCCTTCTTGTTTTTCTTCTAGTTAGACAAAAAGAACAAAATATTGTCAATCTACATCTACAACCAATGAGTATTTGCCAACAGTCAAGGCGTGGTCACATTTTCACATTGTTTGAAAAATGTTCACGGCAAAATCTACTCATTTCAATAGAAATTCAGGCAATTGCAATACTTACCAATAAGTAATTGAAATACTTTACCACACAGAAGTTTCACAAATTCAATGCATTGATCAACATAAGCTTGGTTTGAAGTTAACTTGTGTGAGCAGTACTTCATACATCACAACACTTGACCGCACCTTAAGCACAACATTAATTAGCTGCAAAATGTCTCACCTTGAAGAAGGGAACCCTTCCATTCTCAAAACATGTCAGGTTCTCATCAGAGCAGGACTGTTCATTGATGTTTCCATCACTAGAAACACTGACTTCATCCTCCAGAGAATCCTAAAAACAGAATTGGTTACACCAGTCCAAAAAAAAAAAAAAAAAAAAAAAAAGTATCTACAGCACCTTAAAATAAATCTTAATACATTTTAAATAGCAAACACTGATAGCATTTCCACTGATTCAAACTCCTCCTGTAATATAAAGAACATGGATGGACTACCTGGTCAAGAGGTTTCTCTTCTCCCTCTATGACAGTTTCACACTGGCTCAGCAAACACTGAAGCTCTTCCTGCTGAGCTCTGAACTCCTCTGCCAGCTCCTCTCGACTCCTCGGCTTGTTCAGCACACGTGGGTATGTGTATTCCCTACGCTGAGGGGTCGTTCCTGTAAAGATACACACACACGTCACATTACGGACCCGTACACATGGACCGATTACTTGCACTTGAGCAGTGGCTGTACCCAAAATGCTATATCACAGCTTCTCTCATACCTGTTGGTAAATCTTGCCGTAGCTCTGAGCTGATGAAGTTGTGTACAGTGTCCAGAGCCAGAGTGCTGATGCAGGAGAGGATCTCTTTGTGCTCCTGCATGGTAGCATCATCTTTACCGGTCTGCAATTCCACACGACTCAGAATTACTTCCACTTCCTGCTGCATGGGAGTCAAACGGGCTTCACAGTCCTGAACGGCTTTCTTCCCCTTTTCCTCGACAGACTGCATGCACACACAAAATAAGAGAGTCTCAAACACTAGAAATGCATCATGGAAGTATACAAAAGGGCAAGTGCTAAAGACAAACTAACCTTTCGTAAGTCTTGCAGAGCCGTGTCTGTCTCCCTAATGAGTGTAAGCTGTTCTTGGGCTTTATTCTCGGTTGCGTTTGAGGCTTCGTGACACCACGCGAGTCCTGACTCAGCCAGCGAGTCAAGCGACGTCTGTAGCAGTCCGCAGTATCCGATACACTCCTCCAGCGTTCTCTCTCCCTCTTCCGTCACTCCATTCATCTCTGTCATCACTCCGTCCACAGAAGACCCCAGTCGAGCACGGGCAGACACATGTTGCTCCTCAGTTGCAGTACATTTACTATAATAAAAACGATTTATTAGGGTTTTGTTACAGGAAACTTGAAGTTATATGTTGTGAACAGGGCCTGAAATTAACACCCGACCACCTGCCAAATGCGGGTGAATTTTGCTATTGGCGGGTAACACTGTCAATCTACCTGCCACATTGGCGGGTAGCCAATGAGAATTGAGTGATTCATTAGGATTTTTACATTTCAACGAAGTCCGCTATTGCGGGACTTTAGCTAAAATGTGGCGGCACATTACTGGGGTAAAGAGGCCAGCTGAAACAAAACAAACAGCCAACAAAAAGATGAGGATGAGAAAAATAAAAGTAAAGAAGACATTTTATTACAAAGTGAACAATCGGCGGCAATGGCAAGGTTCGTGAGCGGCTGATTTATGACAGCGACTGTTGTTTCGTAACGTTCATGCGATCAGAAAGAAGATGAGGCTCTTTTTCTGACTACGTGTGCGAGTATTAAACTGTTGATGAGATGGGATGAGATAATGTAACGCGTCGCTGTTGTAGGTTACAGTACAATGACAGTTGCACAGATGTGTGTGCGTGTGCAACTGTGCATGTTGGGAGTTGGGAACCGGTGAGAAAATGTCCGGTACCCGGTAATTTTATCAGTAATAACATTATTAATTTAGTTCATATTTAACCGTTCCTGAACGCTGTAACTAAAAGCTGTTAAGAGTAAGACCTGTACGTGACTAAATCCGCCATCAACACAGCCGCGTGTGATTTGTTTACGAGCTGCGTAGGTCTATCTGTTGAGTATATACTAGCCTATACATGTTGTGTGTGTGTGTGTGTGTGTCTGTCAAAATCAATGAATAAAAATATTTTTTTTTTATGTATGTTATTAGAGTTATTATTACTTGACAGCACTAAAATGTGTGTTCTTACAAGTTAAAGAACAATATTGTGAAATTCCCGGGTTTTTTTTTTTTTTTTTTTTTTTTTTTTTACGTTTATGAGGCAAAAAAAAAAAAATGGCTGGTAAAAAGTCTCTGTGGCGGGTGAATTTTTAAATCCACCTGCCACAGTGGCCGGTGGCCGAAAAAATTAACTTCAGGCCCTGGTTGTGAATATACTCTCACCTCTGTATGGAGCTCTCTAGTGTTTCTAGTGAAACAATCGGTGCAGATGCTGCCTGTGAAACACCCTTAAAGTCAGTCTGAGTGTTCATCGCCAATAGATTCAATTGGTTCTGCAAACACTGAACCAGCTCGGCCACATGCTGTAAAAAAACAAACAATTTAAGCAGTTTAAGAACCAATTCTGTCACATAACTTTACAGAAGAACATCTTTTAATTGGTTCCATTCATACCCACACAACTTGTGACCATCTGAGCCAATCAATTTAAAAGAAATGTGATTGCTTGGATTAAAGTTAATCCTCCTCTTCAAGAAACTGTCCAGGGGTTATAGACCTACCGCCTGATGGCTGTTTTCAGCTTGGCTAATCTGTTGCTTGAGCTTGTCATGTTCGGCACGCAGAGTGCTGAAGCCCTGCATAGCGCACTCTCGCATACTGGCAAACGATTCGGTGTAAGAGTCAAAAACTGACATCATCTCTGCTTTCAGACCCCGCATCTGTAGGAGACATTTTTACCATGACTTATTACAAATCTCAAATAAACTGGCATAACAACAGGTCAAATCATCATTCTCACACATACCTGCTCATTTAGAGTGTGGTATCTGTGAAAGGTTTGCTTCAGACTGTCAGTCGTGGCAATGACAGACCTGATTCCTGGCACCGCTTGGGCGAGCAGAACCTTCTCTAGATGCTGTTTGTGTTCATCCTGAAAAAAAAAAAAGTGCATTCAGGCATCACAACATCATAAAGCATACAGTATGAAGAGGATCTGCATTAGATAGATTTAATAGAGTAAAATTGTGATGATGGCAAAGGGATAAATTGGCGTGCACAATTAAAATGTTTAATTTTTGATCATAATCCCAAAAGTCATGGAAAACCTGGATATGAAGGCAACAACTTTAAAAGTGACTTACAGCTTAGGCCTGGAAAAGTAGAATCCTATACATTTGGATTGATAGAGTTCTTACCAGTATTTCCAGCATGCTGTTCTGAGCCTCCTGAGAGAGCTTCTCCTGACGTAACACTCGTTCCTTGCACTGCTCTACAACTTCTCCAAC